CTGGCAGGTAGACGTCTACCGGAGGGTCACTGTCCGACTGCGGCAGGCTCCTGTGCTCGCCGCAGCTGCTGTCCTGCAGGACGTCTTCGACGGAGGGCGGGCGGCTACCTAGAACCAGCCGAGAGCGCAGCCCCTCAGTCCCCAGACCAGCTCTGCAGGGGCACACGGCCAGGACGGGTTGAGACCTTCCATGTGAGGAAGCTCCCCAGGCCCCCCCAGCCCCGCAGAGGTCTTGGGAGGGCCGGTCAGACTGGCCTGGGTCACAGTGCCAAAGGGCCAGCTCTGTTCACCTGCAGGCTCACACCCCAAAACGCACCCAGCACTCCCCTCCCACCCCATCCTTCTGCCTGCTGGATGCTGACTGAGCGCCACAGACCCATCCCAAAGACATGGGGCACATCCTGCATGCCCAGTACTGCAGCCATGGTCCCACCAGGACCACATTGGGGCACACAGCCATCTCCCCTCTCAGCCATGCGAGAAGTCAGCTCATGGCATGGACAGTTCTACCTGTGTAGAGCTTACACCAAGGAGAGATGATTGGCAAATAAACCAGGCAGACCTGTTAATTCTGTTCCCCCACTTCCCGGGAGAGAGCAGGGAAGTACCAGGGACCTGGTGAAGCACGGCAACTTAGAGATGGGACTTCAGGGGCTGGATGTTCCTGCTGGATGTTTCTGAACTCGTATGTGCATTTCCCAGCTGTCCCTGTCCCACCACAGATGAGGACTGGCTGCCCCCACAGCTGAGTGCACACTCACCCTGCTGCAGGGACGAGGCTTCCTCGATCTCCTCCCCTGCCACGCTCTGTAAAGAGGAACCACAGAGGTTACTTCTGCGGGCCGGAGGTCTTTGCTGCGCTCGTCTCCTGCTCTGGCGTTCTCCAGAGAGCTGCGCTCAGGGCAAGCCCTGGTTTCCCAGACGGATCAAGGGGCCCTGCACCAGTCCTGTGGCACCATGGGCCAGGACAGAGGGGCTTCAGAGCCAACAGCAGCAGGTGCTGAAAGCCCAGCGAGGCCCAGCTTCCACGCCTGCCCCAAACACTGCTGGGCTCCTCCAGGAAGCTGGGGGAAGGTCAGCTCTGACATGGCTGCAGTCAAGCAGCTTTCCAAGCCCCCAGCTGTTTTAGGGGCACAGGGAGCAGCTACGTCCTTCCCTATGGAGCCCTATGGGTAAATAAAGGCAGCCGAGACTGCTGGCTCCGGGCTACTCGTGCTAAGAAGCTCATCTTCATCCTGTCACTGAGGAAGTGATGGTCCTTCACGAGGCACCTCCTGTGCCCCCGAAGAAGCTTCCCCCACCAAGAAGAGCTCTGGCTCAGAGCAGCTCCCCAGCAGAGCACACTTACTTCTGGAGAGCTGGTCTCTCTCAGGACCAGCTCACCCCCACTCAGTGCTGGCTGCGAGTCAGAGTCCTCGGAGAGCTTCTCTTCATCCTCCTCATGGATCGGCGACGAGGGAGACCGTAGTGTGCTGCGGCAAGAGAAACTCCATTTGCAAGAAGCTGCAGTGCTGCCAGCACCGCGGGTCCTGGCAGATTTGATGGCAGCAGCTCAAGTTGTCACCACCCCTGCCCTGTCCCTCCACCAGCTGCGTAAGCCAACATGCGTGAGCAGGAGCTCAAACTTTTGAGCTAAATTCACCAGGGCCCTCCAGTATCAGCTACAGGGAGAACAGCAACAGCAGCAGCAGCGTTTCTGGGGCAGAGCCAAGTGGTGCAGAGCTGCGGCACAGTAACACAACTCAGATAAATCTGCCTTTGCACGGAAAGCAAGAGGCCCAGGTCTCACGTTGCTCCTCACACCTTCAGGGTGTCCCTTCCCAGGGGAAAATTTGGAATGGAGGACAGCGAGGAGTGCCGGGAACAAACCCAGTCTGACCCCATCTGTATGGCCCCGCAAGGGACACGTGAAGGGCACCTGCATTAGGCTGCCCACTCCGTGGCACCCAGACCTAGATCCTCCATCACACGGCCAATAGAGGAGGCTTCAGACAACAACCAAAGGATCTCATCCAGCATTTTCTGCTCTGAAATTTAGGTCACTTCTCTCCCCACTCTTTTGCTCCAGGGAAACTTCATGGAAAGCTGAAATCCAACAAGGTTTGGACGTTAAATGCAAATTGAGGGACTAACTGCATTGGAAAGGAGACATTTCTATCCAAAGTCTGGATTAAATTCTCCTTGTTAAAAATCCTCTTTCTTTTGGTGACAAAGTCAGCCCTTAGGAGACATAAGCCGGTAACCTCAGGCTGAACACAGGGGTGATGTCTCAATTCTCTCACTGGTATGAGTACCTAAAATTCTGAGTCAGCAGTGCTACCAGTGACAGGACCAGCCAGAGCCCTCTCCTGGCTCCCAGTGAGTTTGGCTACAAGCCCTCAGGGCTCGCAAGAGGCGTGGACCCCTCCATCCCCATGCTGACCTATCTGGAGACTTGCTCCGCTTGCCCTTCTGGTGGCTGCTCTCCACAGCTCTGTCCATCCCAACAAGCGGTCGGCTCGCAGGCGGCATCCCATCCACCACACCAGAGTAGTTGATTTCGTCATACAGAGGAGCTGACGGGATGGAGGGGGAAACAGAGCGAAGGCCATTCAGCGCTTCCAGCAAGGAAATGGGCTCGTAGCCCGGAGGGATGTTGTCAGAGCTCTGTGGGCGAGAGAGAGGGGCATGTTAAGAAACCCTCACCAGGCTGAAAGCCCCCCTAGAAAGGGTTGGCCCCGCTGCAACCCAGCCGTGCATATCCCAGGTAGCCCGTGCCCACCGCCACCTCTCCAGAGAGCCTCAGCCTCCTTCCCCTGCAACAGCCACACACTCCCCTTGGGTTGTAACACTGATGATGCTCCAGGCAAGTTTCCAGAGCAGTGCTTGAGAGACCGGGCATCTCAGCAAGCCAGAACATGGCTGAGCGCTCCTCCTACACCATACTTTCAAGAGCTGGGCAAGGAGGGTGAGAAAGCAGGTTCCTAACAAAGCTGCTATAACATACGTTTGGATTTTTTCTTCTAAAAGTTCCTCCAATGGTTCAGAGACCCTTCCAGCTCAATAAGCACACCACATCTGCTCCCAGCCCTGGTACATGCAGCTGTTTCACAGCACCACCAGTGTCACTAACAGAGTGGTAGGAGGGGAGTACGTGTGCCCGAGCTGAGAGCTGGTCCTCAGAGCCTACCCCACTTCCACTTCTCCCATGCTCTCAGTCCTCTCAGCTGCTAACGCGGGCTCTCTGCACAGTTGTCTCTGCTGAAAGGTAGGAAAGGGATCACAGAACCACTAAGCCCATAAGGGAGGAGGGCAAAACTGCACTAATTCCCATTTCCTCTGTAACTCACTAAGCTGCCAGTCAAAGGGACCCTTGCAAAGCCGCTAAACCAACAACGGTTTAACTCCAAAAATCCTCCTGATCATAAAGATCCTGTGGACTCAAGAGACAAACGGGGTTTATGCTGCAACCCAGTAGGCCACAGGCAGCTCAGCCCAGCCTGCTGCTGCTGCAAAAAAGAGGCAAGACTGCAGCAGCCCAGGCTTACATTAAATTGGGCTGTTTCAGCTCTGTATCCTCAGGGAGGTGGTTTGACGTTGTACCTAAGATGCTGTGTTGCTTCTAAGTCTGGCCATAAACTCCTGTAGCTTCTCTGTGCCTGGTGTCCCAATCACACGGCTGCAGACGAGCCTGCCCAGCAACTTCAACACAGCCATTAATTTGGTGTGAGCTGATTGCTGAACTGACTCACTTGTGGTCACAGAAGGAGCTAGATCTGACTGGCAAGAAAGAATGAGTGGCACCTGAGGTCAAGCATCAACCCACACCCCCTAAGTATTGGTCTTGTGATGGTTATGAGCTTGCCCTGAAGACCACAGCTGGTGATGGCAAGATACCCAAGGCAGCTGAACAAGGAATCGGTTCACAGTTGCTGCCACCTGCGGGCAGTGGGGCCAAAAGCCATCTCCACAAAAGCGTTTCATTTCCAGACAGCAGTTTGGAGGTGCTACTTTGAGGACAGAAAAGTCAGGAAGACAAAACCCCCTGGCTTGTGTTTGGGACATTTTCTCCTGGCTGTGTAGACCAAGGCCTGAGGGTTCAAAGGCTGCTCATTTTGGTTCGCTATGGTGAAAGCTCAGGTTCTGCAGCACAGCTCAGAGGCCGGAGGAGAATTTCCCAGCCAATGGCTATAACACCCTCGCTGCAAGTTACTGAGCTCTCAAACAACCCTAAGAGATGCTGCTCTCTCCTGGGACACTTACTGCTACATCACCCATATCGCCCACGGCTCCAGCAGTACTGCTAGTCGCTGCAGGAGGCTTGCAGAGAGCCAGGGTCACGCCAAGCTCGCAAGAGTCTCATTACCTGAACCCAGCCTCAGGTTTTCCCCAAACCTGGCAAGCACAACAAGCCACCTTCCTCACAAGGCTGAGCATCTAGGCCAGCTTGAGCAAAAGCCAACTGCAGCCTCCTTGATACCAGTGACAGCTGTAGCTGCATTTGATGGGAGTACACAAAGAGGGCACAAACAGACCCTTCCTGGCCTGGGGGCCTCCCTCACCTTTCTCCTTCCCAGCTCCCGGTCCCCCACAATTGCCGTTCATGCTGTCCCCAGCACGGCGTTCCAGTTACACACTCTCACACCACCTCGGAGAGTCCCCAGCAAAACAAGCTCCATCCTTCCTGTGTCTGTAAAAGCAAAACAGCCCATTGCAGCCAGTGTTCCTGAATGCAAGACCTGGTCCAACCGTGCCTATTTGTCTATCTCTACATCCCAGCACCAGGGTGGAAATGACAACAAGATGTGCCCACGACAAACTGCCAAGGGGATGAGACAAGTGCAAGGAAGCTTTTGGGTGAGCCAAGGGGACAGCAGCTTGCCCATGGTCCTACAAATCTATGAAAAAACCGTCTTGGTCAGGAACTATAAAGCAGCCAGGGTCAGGACCTGGGGACAGTCCCTGAGTCAGCATCAGATCCCTGTGGCAAGCTGCTTCCATCTTGCTTATCCCTCCGCAGGCAAACCAGGGAGGTTAGCAATCGTCCGTGCAGGGTGTGAGCATCTCACCACTAACATGAAGGCAGCACGTGGAGTGTCGCAGCCTGTGCAGGGGCACAAGTCAAACCCAGTGTGTTAGCAAGCCCTCGCATGTGTAACACTTCCATGTGCCAGTGACACAGCTGGCAAAGAATTGCCGTAGGAGCCAAACACAACCAAGTCCACTTACTGTTTCCCTTCTAGGTTTCCTGCTGGGCAGGGAGACAGTGCTCACTTTAAAGGGTTTAAAGGGACACTGTCAAGAGAAAACGATGTTTTAAAGAAGTTGTTTCTTGAGGTTAGTGACACAAAGAGACATGCAGCATCTGCTCACCTTGCTCCAGGTGACAGCGCCTGCTTTCTCTACACACCATGCTCTGCTTCACAACAACCCTCTGGGTTTCTGCCTTGCTGTATTTCTTAGCCCCAGTTCAAAGCAGCGGGGCTGCACTGCTGCAGAGGACAGATGGATAAACCCAGGCTTTTCCTGTGACAATCTCATTCTGTTCCCATGAAAGCCTGTTAAGATGATCTAGATGCAGATCTCCCTCTCACGCTGATCTCATGTGTCTCGCCAGAGCCAGCTGTGCAGCAGCACTGCTCAGGCAATGAGCTGCTGCCCTCACTGCACCAGGGACGTGTGACCTGGCCCTGAGGCCACCAGCACCACACTTTTTATCCCACGTTCACTGAGCTGCCTGCTGAGACCCTGATCACTCAGGGAGGCTGGCACAAAGAGGTCTTTCTGCTACCATGCTGGGAACCTCAATGCCAAGGGCGTTTCATCAGAACCTGCTGCCACACAGATGTGCATGCAAGTCAAACTGTAACCCCCTCCATTTTCCCAGCTCCCACTCTGCCATGCCTGGAGTCTGCCACTTTTCCTCTGGGACAGACCTCAAGAAACCTTCTCAGACTGAGGCTTCTGTGGATTTGTTTCCTCCAAAAGACAGGAGGACACTTGGCTAAAAATAGTTGTATTGCTAAACCACAAGAGGAGAGGTCCTGGCTTTCTAGCAGGCTTGAGAAGAGAGGCTGCACTGCTCAGGAAGACCTTGCTCCAATGTCCGAGTGCACCTCCTGAGGTCCCAGGGACGCTGGCCATCAGGCCGAGCAACTCGTGCGTGCACAAACTGCTGGCCCAGGCTGAGACGAGTGCCCAGGCTTTGTATACGGAGTTGTGAGGTACTTACAGAGTGCTCGTCATGGTCAACGCTCTGTGCCAAGACTGGGCTGAACGACACCGGTGACAGAGCCCCTGGCTTCTTCCTCACAGCCCGGATCTGCAGGAGGGCACGGAAGGCTAGGAGAGAACAGTAGGCAGGTGACTGCAAGGCCAAGCAGGACCAGGCCGTGCCAGGTGCATGCCAGAGGTCCTCGGCTTGCCGCAGACACACCATGGGCATGGAGGAGCTCCCTGTGTGCATGGGGAGCAGAGCCACAGAGCACATCAAAGCCATGCTCTGTGGTCTGGCTGCTAGTCAATTGATCTGGACAGGGAAGAGATCTGCTGGCCGAAAAATTCTGGGTACATGCAGCCCTTCTGGAGAACAGGCACTGCCTGCCCCAGTACAGTCCTGTACAGAGGTGTTTCAGGCCTGATACTGCACAACACAGTAAAAAAACCCCATGAACTCAGCCTTGGGCAGTGCGCTGCAAGCTACAGGATGGGGCAAGGGGGAGGGCTCATGTAAAAGCACTTCGGGTTCATTCAGACCCCACAAGTCTCAGCCCTGGGGTCCAGCTGGCACTGGAAGCATTGAGCCTGCCATCAGCAGAGGGTCAGTGGCTATAGTCTGGTCTCCAGCACAGCGATCCCTTGGTCCTCCCACCACAACAGCTTTGATCTCCAGTCCCTGCCCACAGACCCATTTTCTATCTGCAGATTTTAATACTGTTTGTTCCTCTGTGCCAACGGCACATCTGAAGGAGCCCAACATCTGTTCTGATGCAGCTGTAAGAACTTGCTTGTACATAAGGAAAAGCCCAGGCATTTCCCTAGTTCTTGTTGCACTCGGTCGCTTGCAAGATGAGCCCAGAGCAAGAGGACAGAGGTACAAATCTATCCTTGCTGCGTCTGCACTCCCCAGAAGCAGATTCCCAGGAAGTCTGACATGGGGGTACTTTCCAAACAAATACAACCTACTCCACTGCAGCATGCAGATGAGATAATGCTGTTCCTGTGTTTTAAGTTGTGCTACTTATAGGCAAAGCTGTCTGGCACTTCCTCTGCTAAGTTCTTGGTTTTGCAAACCACACACTTCTTGCCAAGTTTGAACTGTTCAGACATAATTTCTCAGGCCAAACATCTGTCTTATGCTTTTTTTTCTTTTCCTGAGAAGTATCAGTTAGAAACAATCAAATACCTCAGAGACCAAGGACAGGATAAAACACACGATCTGTCTATTCCAGCAAAAACACAGGCATTTTCTCAAGAGACTCCTATGCCTCTGTGCTTTTGAGAAACGACATGGAATTCAGCAAGTGCCGCCTGAGTATCAGAACTGGTATTTCATTTTTTCCATCTTTTGGGAGCTGAGCAATGCAGGGGTTAAGCAGATCCTCCTAACTCTCCTGGCAAAGTGAAGGACTCCAAATCGACTGTTATCTCATCTCTGCCTCCCTGGTGAAGTCGAAGCAAGGTTGTCAGAGAGGAAAAAAAAAAAAAAAAAAAAATCACACAAAGTACTTGGACAGCCCTCTGGTCGGGCTGGCTGTTGTCTCGGCCAGATACTCTCAGGATAAAGCTTTTTCCATCATCTCCACCAAAACAGGCCTACATGGCATGGCTCAGAGCACCTGCACCTTCAGATCCATCCCAGGGAGAGGGCAAGTGGCCAGGGAGGCACTGGACAAAGGTCCATTCTCCCATGTGCTTTCCTCCTTCCCTGTTCAAGGGCAGTTATTTTAGGTGTCAGAAATCTCCAGATGCCAGTGAGAGCAGGAGCATGTTTGATGCTGAGCCTTGGGGTGGGGTATATAAAATATGTGCTCCCTTTCGCAGCCTGTACTGACTTAACAGGAGCCTAAGAGGGAGAAAGATGCCCTTGTTTCCTGGGCACATACTCACGCAGCCTGCAGATGGGGCAGTTGTTGGCCTGGTAGCGCAGGGTGTCAGCGCAGGAATTGCACAGACAGAGGTGTCTGCAGGGCAGAATGAGGGTGTCGCGGAGGTCAGACAGGCAAACCACACACTCGTTGCTGTTGTCGCTGTTCTCGTCATCTGAAGGCTGCAATGAGAGGCAAGATGTTGGCACGCGAATGCTAAGGGTCATACTGAATCACAGAATTGATTTGGTTGGAAGAGACCTCTGCGATCATCAAGTCCAACCTTTGCCCTAACACCTCCATGTCAGCCAGACCATGGCACTAAGTGCCACCGCCAGTCTCTTCTTAAACACTTCCAGGGATGGTGACTCCGCCCCCTCCCTGGGCAGCCCATCCCAATGCCTAACGACCCTTTCTGTGAAGAAATGCCTCCTCATTTCTAGCCTGAACTTCCCCTGGCGCAGTTTCAGACTATGGCCTCTTGTCCTGTCACGAGTTGCCTGGGAGAAGAGGCTGATCCCAACTTTGCTACAATCTCCTTTCAGGGTGCTGTAGAGAGCGAACTGCCAAGGGACTCTGGAGCCTGGGGAAATTTCCCACCTAGAAGTCTGTGAGAGAGCTGACATCCTCTTTCCGCAGCTCTCAGCAGGGGGTTCTCAAGGAAAGCAAGCTCCAGCCCACACAACCCTGCTACGGACACTCCTTCCTCTCGGGGCTCTGCTCTGAGCTCACTAAAGGCCAGAGACCAAGGCATTGTCCTGTGAATTCACAGCACAGCTGTCCTTCCCCAGAGCTAGGCTGGGTGTAGAGAGGAGCCTTTTTGGGGCAGGGATCCCCTTGGCTTAGGGGAACCAAGAACCAGCTCCTGTCTGCCAGCCTGGTGGCTCCCAGGGTCAGCAGGGAAGTGGGCTCTTTGGCAGTCCAGCCTTTCAGCCCCACGTCCACGGAAAGAAAGCAGCCCCAAAAGGAGCTGCTCGCTGACTGTGGCAGGCAGCAGGTCAGGTTGCCCCTGGGCTGGACAGAAAGAGGCACTCCAGCCATGACTAGCTCAGCTTCCACAGGTCCTCTGAACAAGTGATGGAGTGGTTCTTCTGCCACAGCATCTTCACCAGTCTCCTGTGCTGGCACAAGCTTCGATGCAGCTGCAGGAGAACCAGCCTGGGATGCTCACCTGCTCACAGCTACCCTGGTAAAAAGGTCAGTGTGAATCCATTCAACATGAACGTGCATCACAGTGGTCGTTTCAGTCACTCAGAGGCCCACAAATAGAATTACAGTCACTGAGCAAGCTGTTGCTCCAAGGAGAAACCCACTCTCCAACCATAAGAGCTCTCTTCACTGACACCCGAGAACCCCACAGTCTCCCCACTGATGCCACAGAAGTTATGCCAGAGCCCACCAAAATGATGACCCAGCATGGGTCACCCTCTGCCTTTGCCTGGTCCCACTTCCCGAGGTCCCTTTGGTCACCAGCGCTAACACGTGCTAGACAACGGGCAACCTTGATGTAAACAGCAATATACAGCATCTGCCGCTGCCACATCCACACCCAGCCTGCTGACTATGCCAGCAAAAGGCTACAAGCCTGTCTGCCCCATCACATGCACTCCTCATCTATTTTGGGAGGCAGGGAGGGCAGGCTCTTTTGCTTTCCCATTCACATGGTTTGCTAAGTATGCTAGGAAGAACAAAAATGGCCCCAGGCCACTTGTCTCATAGGCCACAAATGTGTGATTGCTGGATCAAGAGAATCATCACAAGACCATGGAGGACCCAAACAGAAGCCTTCAATCCTCTTAAATAGATCCTGTGCAAGAAAAATCTTTGAAAAGACTTCTTCCTCCTGCCTCTTCAGGTGCTACCTGTTGGCATAGGCAGATAGAGATCACAGGATGCTTTGGGCAGGACACTGCACTGTTTGGAGAGGAAATCCTGCTTGTCTTGCTCTGTCGCTACTCCTCTGTTTGCAAATCATGTACTATACACACCAGAGTGGTCTGATCCTGAGGCCAGCACTTGGTACATTCTGCAGCCCAGGTGGCAGCAAAGGGCAGCTCTACATAAGGCTAAAGCAAGCATAAAGCAGTCACGCCATCTGCATGGGGCTGTGCAGCAAGCTGGGATTCAGCAGAAGCTCCTGCCTAAAGATGGGCAATATTTCTGGTTACGGCATTTGTATATCCATCCCTCAGTGATGCTGTGCTCCCTCTTGCTGGGAGCGCAGCACTGGCAAGCCCTAGAGAGCTCAGTTCCCTGCAATGCTACAGGAACACACAGTTCTCCCCCCTGAAATAGGAAAACATGGAGCCACAGGAGTAAAGCACAGACACCAGGCATGACTGCCTTGACTGCAGAGAGGCAGCGACACTGGCCCACAGCTCTGTGTCTACAAGCCCTAAAAATCAGTGCTCTGAAACACCCATGGGGCACAGACACCCTTCTCTCCCAGCAATCCCAGCCCCAGGGAATCACCTCTAGAGTCTCACACTATCTAAAATTATCTCAGCATAACTCCACTGACTGTTTGGGCCTTACAACAGCAAGGATCTGTCATTCCTGGGCTTCTTCAGTGCCTGCAGGAACGACACAGAGTTGACAGTCATTCTGGGAAGCACCTCCACCTTGCCCTGCCAAGCCTGTTAAGCTCGAAAGCAGAAGGTGCAGGCTGGAAACCCGCAACTCAGGGAGCAGAAGCCTCCTGAGCGCCTTTACCTTGGTTTCTTGGTTGTTTTTGTTCTCGATGCCATAGATCTCCTGAAGCAGATAGCTCACCCGGTCAACCTAGGGAAGAAGACAACAGTTAGAGTGCCAGCTGCTCTGTCATTGCTGTTTTGTGATCACCTCCCCTCCCTTCCTGTGTCAAAATGTCCATGTTACACCTACAACAGCCAGCTTCCCTATAGCTACATGAAAAATTTAACAGAAATAAATATTGCAAAGGATAGCTGAGAAAATAAGTCTCTCCTTGCTTAAAAAGTGGTGCCCATCCTGTCTGGTCTGAGTAGGGAGCCCAACTGGCCACTTTTGTAACTGTCAAAATCATCCAAAAAACAAGTACTCTCCTTGTCTCAGAGATCAAGAGGGAAGATGCGCCCATAGCTCAAATAAGCCAGAGGCAATCAGCCTTCCACAGTCCTTTCCTTCTGTGAAGTACTGCTTAACTTTAACCAAGATGAACTTCCACCCATCCCTGTAACCTCAGCAGAGGTGCTGTGCCAACGGCTCGTCACTGGCTCATCAATGGCTGCACATCACTTCCCTGTTCATTACCTGGGAACATAATAAGGTCAAGCTACTGAAGACAGACAAACCATCTCCCTTAGCATGAGAAGCACTCAAGGGACAACGCTACATTAGCGCAGTGTCATTTATTACCATCCCCAGGCCCTTGGTGGCATCTCTAAATTGGGATGTGTGGTGGCAGAAAGCGCTCTAGGCACAAGTGGAAGTTGCTCACACCTCCAAACCTGGGATATACTCCTCCAAGCCATGCCTTTACACAAACACTGGCAGCTGCCTGCAAACTCCCTCCGAGCAGCTGAATTAAAGCACTGAGGCAAGAAAGGCTGACGGTTCAAGTCCCAGCAAGGCAAACCCCCTCTGCACTGTGGGGTGTTCTCCCCTGCTCCCTGGCTTAGTCAGCAAGTACAGCGTAAGACTCTTACACCTGTGAGGAGCAGCCTCCACAAGGACGCACAAAGACAGCACAAAGATACACAAAGGTCCCCTGAGATCTGGGGCTACACACAGCTTCCCCAGAGCAGAGCGTGTTTGTCTGCAAAAAACCCCGCAACAGGTAGAACAGTGAAGGGGTTGCAAGGTATCAAACTGACGCATCTCGCAAATAGGGGAAGGAAACACTTTCCTGCCATCTCCAGTAACTGCCCAGTTGACACCATGCAGTGAAGCCAAGCTACCAGAAACTGAGTGCTTCAACAGCTCCTCAATCCCAGGGCTTTTGGCATTTCCATGTGTAATTGGCCTCTCTCCTCTCCTTTTGTCAAGCTTAGAAGAGCAATGGTTTTGCCATGGGATTTCAGTGCTGCAGAGGACATCACATGCCAAGATGGGGGCAGCAGCTAGCTATATCCAGCCCGTTTGGCAGTTCAGAAATGCTCTGAGCTGGAAGGCAGCAGCTTGAGCAAACTAATTCCAGAGTCTCCCCGTTTAACTCAGCGTGCAGCTTACAGACAATCTGTTCTAGGCCTGCATTTCACGGCAATGAGGTCAGCTGTTGGGCTGCTGAGCAAAATCCTCTGCAGCAGCTCACAACTCACCCAGGAAGTTTGGGAACAATTATGTGGGAGGTGTCCTTTTGTAACTTGACATTTCAAAGGGAGTCTTGTTACAGCACCCTGACTCCTCAGAGGATGATGATCAGTGACAGGGAGTGCAGAAGTGGTCAGCTCAAAGCAAAGAAGAGGTCAGGAAGGAAGAGACAAAAACCTCTGCAGGAGTCTGCATTCCTTTTAACTGCTTGCCTCTGAAAATCCCAAGAAGCTCCTGTCCCAGTAGGAAAAGGATGAGCAGTGCAACATGGCTCTTTCTAGTAAGAGCACTAGGTTTTAAAAGAGTAAGAGTAAATAAGGAGTAGGTAATTGTACACAACGCAGTCCTTCACCTTCACGCTTCTCCAACCCATCCCGCACCACGTCATCCTTCCAAAGGCTTCTGTTGCTATATACAGCCTCAGTTGATGCATACAGGAGCCACCGGCCAAGTCCAGGTCATGTTTTTCTGCTGATCCATCTGTTTGTATTCATCCATGCTGAATTTCTTTAAATGGGTTAGTACATACATTATAACCGATCTCTGCTGAGAGAATAAAGCAGTTCAGCTCATTAGCTGCTGCTTCCTGCTCCCAAAGAGATTTAGACATTGATGCACACAAAAAGTACTCGGCAATCCTGGCTACGGCAAGGAGGGGAAGGCAAAAGAAAAGCAGTGATGGCGAAGAATGTACAATGTTATACAGATGATTTACTCCAGACATATACTCTGTACCTCTGCTCTATGCTCTTATGGGTGCAGATGCTAACTCAGTTTCAGTGGTACTGGGTGTTCCTCCAGCAAGAGCTTCCTTCTATTTTAAAAGTCATAGGAGAGAACATATAAGCACTACATTTTACAAACTGCCAATAAAAAAAAGGTACCCACAACCAAACACTGAGTGGGAAGGTTACACGCTCTGCCAGTACAGACAGACAAGCACACACTGTTTCACTGCAGGAGTCAGCTAACCATGCTGTGGTAGGGTGGGAACTTCTCTGGAGAGCACTTCCAGCAAGACAGTTCTCTACTTGGGGAGTCCGGAGGGCTAAATGGAGAATAGTACACACACTGCGTTAGTGTGCACAGTAACCCGTTGACGACTCAAAGAGCTCATAGCCATGTAAGCACTGTTTTTTAAAAAAAAATTAAAAATAAAAATAAAAAATCCCCCCAAAACCCACAAGCAAGATAAATGAGCAGCTTTTTATCAGCTCACAAATGCTTTTCTCTGATCAGAAGAGTATGTGGGAAAGAGGCATCGTTGGCATCACACTGCTCTGCTCCCTCAGCGCTCAGGCAGCCTCTTCCAGCACAGCACACAAGCTCTCCCTTCAGAGGCATGGCTCTTCTGGATGTTCCCACTACAAACCTGCCTTCACACGCTCGATAGACTCCCTTCTGAAACAGTCTCCGTCTGTCTCTATTAAAAATACTTGTAGGACCCAGATCAATTGACTAGCCAGGACATCATGCTGCAACACAGCCAAGTTAAGCACCAAGGAAGGGAGCGGAGCGCAGGTCAGTTTAGGACACACAGGGCTCAGAACAGACGTCAGGCTGGAGCGGCAAGTAACTCACCAGTAGCACCAGTATAAAGCTCTGGCAGCGAGGGCTAATATTGCTGTCACCAAGCATGAGCAAGTCTGAAGGACAGGCTGTGAGTTTCTGCACAGCACTGGCAAGGTAGATAGCGGATTACCAAACATGATTTTGATATAGGATTAACTGATACTGTTTAGTGACTCTTTTCTGACTTGGAGACTGGAAGAAACATCTTAGAGCAAAAAGTGTCTAATCAAGGCACTTAATGACCTTCTTGGTAGTAAAAGGCTTTTTAATTCAGATCAGAAAACCCTAGCCATCAATCGCCAGCAGCTAAAGTCAAACACATTTAAAGCAGAAACACAGCACACACCTAAAGGTGAAGGGATAGACCACCAAAATCTCAGCTCTTTCTCCAAGACATTTCAAGCTGATCATTGCAGCAGGATCACTACCAGATTTCCTTTCAGAAGCTGAAATTCTTGGCAATCTTTGCAGTTTGCAGTTGCTTATGTATTTCTCTCTATGCAAGACTGGATGCAATTTCAAACTTGGTAAGGCACTACACAGCTTTTGCACATCATACCACACCAGAATGGGCTAAAAAAGGGCTACAGATCCCTGATGTTTCTCTGTCTGCCAGTCTCTCTTCTTCCCTTCTCCTCATATTGTGTGCAGTCTCGTACATAAACAGCTTCAAAGCCAGACCATGCCTGTGACTGCTCAAGCACCATGATACTGGTAGGGGACAGGCAAGATGAGCCAAAAGGTCTCTGGGGCTGCTCCAAAGATACCATGGGCACAACAAGGAAGCTTGTGCAGGGAGAAAATGATCCCCTAATATCTTAACACACACACATGTGGAAAGCTAACAGTTTTCAGCCTCCAGGTAGGACACTGGGAGTCTGCAAAGATATCCTTCCACATCACAAAAACCAGAACCTAAGGAGATCAGGCAGTGTCAATGAATAGATGTGCTTCGTGCTACTTAACACATATAGCACTTAAGCTCACTCATGCAAACCTAATTTACTTACACCTAATCAGACATGGAAACATCAGTACTGTGCTTTGCCAGTTTTGTATTCAAGCACCAAATGCCAGCAAGGCAGGAACATATAGGGAAGACTGGATCTATCCATAGTGCCTGCCTCCCAGAGGAGCACAGAGACCTGTACCATTGCTCTGCCAGTCCCACGCTGTCATATTTGTTCCCCCAACACACATCTGGCTGTGCAACAAACAACCCAATGTTAAGGGTTGCCGGCAGCTCACTGCCTTTCCTTGTGATATCTGAGCTAACGAGGTGCGATCTCAGGCTCTCAGTGAACTAACACCAAGGCTTCCCACTGGGGACAGTCAGGCACCTGTGGGACACGAGCAAATGTCTTTAATCAAGTAGTAGACAGGAAACAGGTACTTACGATCTGCTTCTGTTTCAACGGCTTCACGGAAAAACTGCCATCAACGTGCTAGCAGGAAAAAAAGGAAACGCATTAAATAGCTGAAGTGTATGAATTAAAACAGACTCATGATCACAGTTGGTGTCTGCTAGGTAAGGGGAGGGTGGCAAGTGTATAACCGGACAGCCTGAATCATTCCCAGGCAATCATTCCCAGCAGAGTTAGTGGAACAGGGTATCAGAGTGCTCCTTCTCTGCTCCAGTGCAGAGCTAGACGGACCTGGCTCAAGTTAAACCTGGCTGAAGTGGGTCAGAGCATACACAAAAATCCCCTGGCACACTGGACGCTTTCAGGCTGCAAGCAGTCCGACTGGGTGCAAACACTTCTTCAGCCAGTCCAGCAAGACTTGGCAGGGGATATTTGTTAACACTCTAAATAAAATCCAGTTACAGAGCCCGTCTAGAGCCTGGAGAGAGCAGTGAGCTGGCACGATGCCGAGAACAAGGCCCATCCAGTGGATGGAGTCAGAAACAAGTCACACATGCTCCACATTGCCGCCTCAAGCCTTTCATTTGCTCAGTGGCAGCAGGCACAGCTGGAGCAATTCTGTATATACCTGGTGTCAGAAGCAGGGATAGGAATAACGTGCTATTTCTATTTTCTCCATCACTCACAAGGGCCGACTAAACTCAAAGAAACCCAACTCTCCTGCCGCTGTCTAGAGAGCAGGAAAGGAGACTTAGGGGAAACTTTAGCAGGCTCTGCGGCTGTGAACAGTTGCAGGCATGCATCTGTTCGCTGAAGGAGTTTCAGAAGGAAGGGACAACAACATTGCACCAAAAAAACAAAACAGTCCTGTCTTCCAGGCAAACACAAAGTGCCAAGCTTCTGTCTTTGGAAGAGCTGCAAGGTCAGACTATGCATAGCATCAAGGTTCCTATTCTGATCTTAAAAATACATATAAATAGCAAGTTACCAAGGCCTGCTGGTCTCTTTGTCCTCTGAGCACACTCTGGTGATCAGCAGCAGTGCTTATTAGCAAGGACCTCCTCTGGATTTATGGACCTACACTTCAAAAGTTGCAATTATTCTAAAGATGGGGAATATCTTTTAATCAAACAGGGAGGAGAAAGAACTCAACAAGCACTTTGCTCTGTGACTTTTTATTAAAAGAAAGATTTTGATCTTGTTTTAAGCATTCAGTGGAAGATGAGAAGTTACAGGTGGCCCCACCAGACAGCATCTCCCTCTCACAGCACACACAGACTAGAAAAAGGGAAGCACTTTCAATCCTTCTGCTCAGACCTGGACACGAGACATAATCCAGCACTGATGGAATGGCCGGACCAGCTTTAGTTGGTTCCCAGTTTTGCTGCATACCTTAATAAGCTCCCTGAACATTACGGGGGCTTTTGCCATCACCTCTGTGCATCCAAAGAGCTCAGAGGTTCTGCGCAGTAGGTGGAATTTACCTGTAATCCTTGAAATCCTGCTTCCAAAGCTGGAGCAGTTCAAGCCATTTTCCAGTCTCATGAGACAGAAATTTCCAAAGCTTCACTTCTGCCCTCATGCTAATACACTCCTAATACATGCATATTTTCCTGCTTTCTGTACGGTGCTATTATCAAGTGCTGGCCACTGGATGCTAGAACGGGAAGCTGAGACAGATCCAGGTCCAAGCGAGGCCTCTACTCCCTGACCACAGAGGCTGGGCTTCCTGCAACAGCACTATGTTTGGGTGCCTGGAAAACAGCAACTAGACACGCTCCTTTCTAAGTAAAAATCATACTTGCATCATCAGATCCAAAGCCTAATCTGAACCTAGCTACAACCAAAAAGCTATGAAGGCAATAGCCAGGGGAGCACAGGTGAGTCTTGGGGCGGAGGAAGGCAAACACGCATAGAGTACTTCAAATTCAGGCTGTAACGTACAGGAAGCTGGTGGTCTCATCTATTTTTCTCTCCTCAGAAATGGCTGAACAATCATTTTGCAAGGCTAGGGTGTCTCCACCTACAGTACTTTCCCACCAAGATGACAGATGGGCCCCAAACGCTACAGCCCACTGCCCACACTGTCCTCTCCCAGCTGCTGCTGAACAGCAACTGAGGGATTCCAGTGTGGTTTGTTTTTCCAGATCAGCCGGAGGAGGAAACCAGAAGAATAACATCCCTGTCCTCGTCCCAGGGGTGCTGCAGCTGCCCATCTCATTTCTGACAGATCTCTACTTGCCAGGAGTAGAACTACCTACAGAGCCAGTGCTCAGAGCAGCCTTTCTAACACAGGAAAACTCATTTTCTTCACATGCTAAGTCCAATAAAAAAGCAACCTAGAACACTTAGAGCATCTTCCAGCCACAGGGCTTCCTTAGGACTGACTGTGCTTCTCATGCCCTCCGACTCAGCTTGTCACCATCTGCATTATTCACCTAGGAGGAACAGAATAAGACCTGGCAACTTGCTCAGGGATACGGCAGGAACCAAGCAGATTGAGAAACAGAAGTCAGCCACGTGCCAGCCTGGAAGTGGGGAATTTCTAACAGCACAGCATTGATGCTGCTCCCCTCTACATGCCCAGTATCTCTTGCATCATCTTAGCATGTCACTACAAATATCACTTGCCCAGGATATGCGTCCGCAGTATTACCGCAACCAGACACGACATGGTGCAGTTATGGATCCTGCAACTGTTTTCAGGGTCCAGTTATCACAGGAAGAGATTTTGTTATGAAGGCTTGTGCATACAGTGCTTACCATGTAGGCAGCGGTCAGCTACAGCAAACATGCCACCGAAAAGTTGTGGAGCTCAAAGTCTTTATGCAGGATGTATCCTAATTCTTTAAAAGGGCTTGGTCCTACGTGTAAACTAAGGCCAAACAATGGTGCAACAGGGTCTGGACAGAGCAGATCCGGTTCTGCAAAGAGATCGCGAGGCCCTGGAAAACGGCACGGTAGCAGCCACGGTCAACACCTTCCACCCTCAAACATCACAGCCACTGACGCACACCCTCTCCCCACACACAGGAAACATCAGCTACAATTAGCTGAGTGACCAGCTCTGGTACAAATGATAATTACAGGCTGCACAGGAGCTGCTGCAAGCAATTATTTGTACTACAATAGCACTCAGGAACTCCTGTCACAGGCCAGGACTCTGTTGTGCTAAATGTTATATAAATACAAACTAACGACCCATCGAAACCTTTATATACACAAGGACAGGAACAGAGGGGAAAAAAGAACTCATTTACCTTTTCAAATGCAGCCAAAAGAACATGGGCATGACCTGTCACCTCAACCACCACTGCAAAAAGAGAAAGACCAGTCCTGGTTAAATCTTGAAAACAGCACACCCCGAGCTGAATTTTAGTCCATTCACAATTACTAAACTGCCATCTGTTCTATTTTCATCTCCTCTTCCAATTTAAAACTCTTCTTATCTTGTCCTCAGGTTGGTTCATCTCACACTCCTGCAGAGCAGCTGTGGCGGGCCCTACGTAGGCATGCCTTTGTTATCTTGGGTGCTCCAAACTACCCCACTTTGTTTTCAGAGCTTGGAAACGAAAAGTAAAACAAAGCGCTCAGTGGGGTTCTGCTCTCCTCTCAAATTCCTGTTTTTAATTACCTGAATTTATTACAGAGATTAATAAATCCATCTGGTTTAACAGCAATTGGCAGCATTTCCAGCCTTGGTACTTATCACTTTATTTCACTCTAATCTGACATGCTTATAAAACATTTATTTCTCATACCAATTTTGGACACTGAAACATCTCTGTCCAGTTCTCTGAGTTTCTCCCCAAAGACAAACATCACATCTTCCCTTTTCCAAACTGAAGGTTTCCCTCTTAATCCAACAGCATTGATAAGCGGCTGTCAGAGATTTCCCTACTGCACTCATGGCTCCCTCAGCAAATACAGAATAGAGGAAACCGAGATACAGTCCCAGTCTCTCTGGCTCAAGACTCTAAGGTTCTGCTCAGCCCCAGCTGGTTGGACCCTTTTGCTTAATTATATTCAGACTCATCACATGGAAATGGGAGACCGAGGTTATGGAGGAGTCACCGAGGGAAGGGAAGGCATGTAAACACCTTGCCCTGCCTGGACCAACGAGTACCCGGGCTGTGCTCAGCAAATGCAAAAGAGCTGGTAGACACTCTCAGCTCTGTGCCGGAAAGTTAACAGCTGAAAGAAGCAACTCATGTGTTGTCTAAAAGGGAGAGGAGCTCAACAGCTTCCTTTGGGCCTCCAGAACAGCAGAGACAACAAGAGAACCGTTTGCTGGACTATGGCACAAAGATCGTGTTTGGAAACAGCAGTATGTGGGAGAAGAGAGTCCATGCCTGCAGATCTGCTGGGTAACTGAGATTGGTCACGGCAATTTGGGTGTGATCGGGAACACAATGGCATGCAGAAGAGAGGACTAAAACTGGGAATTCATCTGCTTGCTACCTCCATTGTCACCCAAGAGCCAGGCTGTTCTAGCTCACTCAGTAAATGAAATTCAGGTCCTTCCCTGCACTTTGAATGGCGACGTAAGAGAGAACAGGCATCGCTTCCCTTCATATCCTCTGTGGCATTCAATCAGCAGGTGTGGCTGGGGCTGTGTGACCCGTTCTGTGCAGCACCCTCCCTCCCCAAAGGGTTTCTGTACCTTTCCCTGAGAGCAATCCCACTGGCAGGAATGGGAGAGGGCTAACATTGCAAGCTGATATTCTTCAAGGCACGTAAACATCTCCTGGCAGAATTCAGTCCAAACCAACATCTTGCTGACTGCTATTTTAATTTGCCATTCAATTTTATTTAACACAAGCAGTTACAAGGCCAGTTGTAATTTTCCAGGTACTCCAAACACACAAGGCCAGCCAGTCCCGTCGGGTAAAATAAGAACCAAAATACACAACAATTTCCCCAAATCTCACTCAAGTGTCGCACAGTTTTGTGCTGATATTCTTTCCAGGAGAGGATTTAAAAGCAATTGCCTTTCCAGGTTATTAAAATAGATGAGAGTACTCTATTGGCTAAGACTGGGCACGGTATGTGCATAAATGTATATTTCCTATGCTGCCTCTTGTTCTATTTTTGGTTCTTCTAGGCACGCCCAACATTAGAAAGTACAAATACCTTGCCAAAAGCTCCATAAACAGAGGAAGGTGGGTTATATTTATGGTCAGGAAATACACATATATGTCAATTTTAGTAACAGTGCCTGAAATCACTAAAAATCGATGCACTTTAGAAGTAATTTCCTTTATGTTGCACTGTGCTTCGTTAGTCACACTTTAAATTGGTTCATCCAGTTCTATTTCACTCTGCTTGGAGGACTGTAAAATAACGCAATGAGTTTCTGGGCACTTTGACATCTATAACACAAGAAACTGAGCAAGTGACTGCAGGAAACAATGCAATCAACAATAGATTTTTTTTTCCTTTCTAATTATTCTTAAATTTTGTACAGAACATTACAAAATGCAGAAGTGAAATGCCGGTCCTGCTGACCACAACAGCCCCCAGTTTGAGAGAAAATGTGACTTTCTTGTGTCCTTTTCATCGCTGATGCTCCAAATGAGCACAAACATATGGAGCCCAAAAGCACACACCCGCTAAAGAAAACACTGCGCAAGGTGAGTAACAATCTAATTTACGGGTCTTCCAACTCCAAAATGGCAACATGCTTTAAAAATAATCAACGATATTATTTCTCATCAAAGGTTATGCTCTTTTCTTGTAACCATTCAGCACCCTTCAAAAAAAGGAGAATTTTGAACTGCTGAATGAAGCTGTATTCGGTTGAACAATGGCCTGAGTATTTTAAAGTAATTTCTTTTCCTCTGACCATTCCTAGGGGAAGGCCCACCCTACAGTTAGCTACAGCTTTTATGAAGACAACTTACCCTTCAAAGAGGAGGAAAAGACCAATTCCCTCCTTGTCTTACAAACTGTAAATGCAAAACGCAAAGAGAAGGGAAGTAGTTAGCTCCCATTTGCGCCTGGCATTGGTGGCAGAGCCAGGAGCTCTCCTAAACACCATTCCAACACTAAATACTTGGCCAATTTTCCTGTAAAAAAAATCGAGGCTATTTTTAAAAGCATGTTTTTATTTAAGACCTGTGGTTAGCTGGGCCCTTCTAATACAGGGAAGTTAAGGTGAACTCCCGAAATATTTTTATTCTGGAAAGGCTCTCCAAGCCTTTGCTACAAGTAAAATGTATTCATCATTGCAGAAGAAGGTCTGCCCTGAGTCACATAACCTCAAAGAGAGCTAGAAGAAGACCAAGGGAGCACACCACCATGCTTACCATCCCCTTCATCCACCACCGCTCGGATGACCACAGGGAATACGCCACGATCCAAGTCAAAGTTCAGCTGAGGGAAAGAAAGGAGATGAGGTTAGACAATTCACACCAGGCTTGCCTGGAGACAACGCTCAAAATGGCATTAACATCAGAGGAATAAAGGTCCTTTCTGAAGGGCCCCCAGTCCCTGGTCTCAAAAGGAGATGACAGAGCAGGAAGATTTAAAATTCAGACACCAACTTTCAAAGGGAGTCAACCAGAATAACTACAAAATATATACATTGACGTGGCACTAAACACCAGCCACAGCTAGCAAAGCAAAGGATCTCCATTTGAATTTTATATGGTATTTCATTCTCACTAATTCATATATCCTAAAAGTCTCTCGAGTGATTTGTAGCAGGACAAGTTTCTCAAAATACATCTAGTGCCATAGCTTCGCTTGCATATGATAGGATATACTGGTTATAGCACAGCAGTATGCATTATGCTCCCTACACCACAAAAGAAATCCTGACTCTTGTATGAAGTTCTTGAAGACATAGAGAAAAATCTGTAAAACTTCAAGCTCACACAAAACTTTAAGCAAACATCAGACTGATTTCCATCTCTTGGCATGTTATGAAATTCTTGTCCTTAACCTTCTAATGGGCGAGAGTCAAAACTGAAGAACTTACTTGAGTGCAAGGAAAACAGACTCAGTTTCTTCCTTTGCCCTGCACTTCATTAAAGCACTTCAAAAGCTCCACGTCATCTTACAAACACAAGAAAAATGCAACCTTACGAACACTGTCCTATGCCAGGAACAGGAGTGGCTCAGAGACTGGATTTCTGGTGTTTTTTGTTAATTACTGACTTGGGGTTTTTTTGTCTCATCTCTTGCCAAGAGAGAAAAAGATGTCATTTCACCATGGTGCTCCAGGTAGTCTGTTTTCAGTTTTCTGGTGAAAACTGAGACCCAATTCAAAGCCCCCAGCACCATGCAGGTAGAGCTTCAGGGCTTCCCTCGCTTTCCCACAGCCCCAACATCATTTGCAGCGTCATTTTCTCCAGCCAGTCCCTCAAAAGATAAACTATCAAGACAGCCATTGGCATTGGCATAAATGGCAACCCAAAGGGAAGCTGACCCTCACTGTGAGCCTTAATGTAGTTGAAAAGGGTTCCTCCTCAAATAAATTACAACCTAAATGTTCATCCTGAAATGAATGACACCTGTACACTGGGAGACGATATACCCAGTCTGCCACCAGCCATGTGCCGTAGCCCATTAGCCACACGGCTGTGCCTCTGCCAAGAGCTGCAGACACATGCTTCAGACTGCAACAGCTCACCAACCTTCCACGGGAGGTGCGGGATGAAGAGGGAATTGCAAGTCTGCTGTTCTTCCGTCGGCAGCTGCATGCTCCTCGTGCAGGTTGCATGCCTTTGGGGCCACTCAGCTTCTGCAGCGCTTTCTAGAAGTGACTCTTGCTTTATAAGAAATCTTTGCACACACACACACACCCCCATTTAAACATGCCTACCTGATTCCAAACAGAAAGCATGTGCTGGAAGACCTTATGATTCAACCTAGCTAGTTGTCAAACCTGAGGGATATTGATTTTCATCCTCTGTATGATGGTTTTACATTTTATTCCTCCTTTAAACTACCAGAATCTTATTCTCTTTCCAAAACAGCAGAGTAATGGAGCAAACACAAAAATCTCATTTAACCTCTCAGTATTTGAAGAAGTATTTAACCTCTCAGTAGTAGAAGAGACTAACTGAGCCACTCTTTTCCAGCTTGCATTTTTGAACCATTATGGCATGCCACAGAGGGAAAATTCATTGAGGACAATTGATTAAACTGCTGAAAGAAGCTTATGGTTTTGCTTTGCTTCCTGCTCCGATTTATTACTGTATGACAACAGTTGCTGTTTGTCCATTTGAAGGGAAAGTCACATCATAAAATTGTGGTTGCATTACGATATAAACTTTTGCGTTCTCAAACAAAAGGCCTCTTTAAGGGTCCATTTCACATTCATTCTTAGGGACCTGAAAACAACTGTCTCAACACAAGCCATACACTATAACTTGCAAGCAAACCAGTATATTACAAAGACAAAATAAACTTTTATAAAGCTTTCCACATAACAACCCAAAATAACGTTATTATCCCTTCTGTTGGCCAGCCAAGAACTACATCATATGTGAGTATTACACTGAGCAAAAATGTGAAGTAAATCTGGATTTTTTGGACAACACCAATAACAAAGCTGGAAAGCAATCTGAAGCATGCAATTGTACACAACTGAGTGATAACACTCTGCCAGCTGTCTCAGATAAAAGTGCTGCATTTCAGCGGCCAGTGAGGAAGATCTAGCCATGCGTATTTTACTGAACTTGAGAGGACAAGGACTGATAAGTACACAGAGCCAAAATGGGAGAAGAAACTCTTCCGAATCACAGTGCTTGTTCCACATTTTCTCCACAATCAGAGCTCCCAGTAACACAATAAAAAAAGAGGAGACAGAGGATGCAGCAGAACCAAGCAAAGGGAGCTAGAAGTTTACTTTTCCGCAGCATCTGTCCCTTTAAGCTGTCAAAGGGACACGACTTTAGTACTCGAGTTAAAACATTGCTTGCAGAAACAAAAGTGAAAATTAAGCTTCTCAATTCTTTAAGAAAGGGATCTGAGCTCCTACTTTCCAGCTCTCTCAGACGACAGAAGGGATTGAAAAGCAGCTCTTCCAGGCTTTTGTAAGCTGAACTTGTGAAATCATATATTGGCAGAGAAGCCAAGACATCAGGAGACCAGACTCTGCAGGCTCTTGGTAACCACCATGGCATTTGTTAAGGCACGGGACTGATTATAGTTATAACTGTAACTTCAAGACAATAGCTATTCAATCCTTTCAAAATACATGAAAGATTACTTTTTTCCTTTCTGGGTTTTTTTTTTGTTTCTTTTTCCTTTTATTTCTTTTTTTTTTTTTAAAATAGGTAGAGCTATCTACCAGGGTTCACATACACCATACTCTTATATAGGCTTCGGTCAGGAAATGAACACTGCATCAGTGTTGACCTGGGACAGGGGTCCACAGGAACAAATATATTAGCAGCAGCTACAGACCAACTCCACCACGTTAGGTATCTCTTATGGCAATTCTGCACAGAGTGAGGGAAAGACCAAGACCTCCCTGCCCCGCGCCACGTGCAGGGGAAGCACTTGGACCAAAGCTCAGAGGCTCGAGAAACAGAAAGTTACCGCCTGCATTGGAATTTTGCAAAGATACCAAAATTAATAGGACTCCACAGATCTTGCTATGTAGTAAAAGCCACAGAACTTAATTAAAACCAAGCCCCTGTCTGTTTGCAGTTATGGGTTAAACTAAAAGGAGGAAGGCATTCCCTTATTCAGCATTAATGCACCAGTGTGAATCTGCTTCAGAAAGGAGAGCATCCCCCCCCCAACACTGTACTGCTACAGTTAATAATGCAGGATGTGGCCCTTAAACAGAGCAGCACTCTTCTAGAGCAGCAGTCTCTAAACTATTTTGACTATTCATCCCACCAGTAAAAAAATTTTGAGCATGTACTTCCAACATAAATATATTTATTATTTATAAGATCTATACACATACTACTGAAATTCTTCCTGCAGCCCGATGAATTGTCTTGCAATGCACCCCATTTGGCAGACCACTGTTCCACAGGACCAACCCCCCCCCCCCCCAAAAAAACAACTCCACCCCCCCCCCCCCAAAAACACCAAAAAACCCACCAAAAAACCACCAAAAGACAGAGATCAAGACAAACATTTGTTCCCACAAGCTCTTTGGCTGGCAGGGAGAGGAAGGCTGAGGAGTGACGGGTTCCTCCAGGCAGAGCTCCAGTGCCAATCTCTGCAGCCTCCCTCCTACACCAGATGTTAGGATGCCAGCTGATCAGTGATATCAAAAGTCACTTTGGGTTTCTTCCCTGTTTGCCTGATCTACCTGCCAAGTTCCCATACAGTGTTCATACCTGCTCCTCCCAGAGCCCCGTTTGTCTCATACCCACAAAACATGCCATGACAGCTGGGAGAGGGTGTCTTCCAGCCATAACTTCATGGCACGAAATGGAGTCCAGTGTTTCTGGGACAACAGGGTTGTAGAAAGAAGGGGACACTGAGAAAAGACTTACCTCATCATCCTTCCAGTCTGAGAAATCAATCTTGAAGGAAGGCAGGGAGAATTGCTGGCTTACCCCTCTCTTGTAATGAACCGTCTCCGACTGCAGAGAGGGATTCTTTGTGCTGTATCTGAAGAAAGGGGGGAAAAAGAAAATTTGCTGTAACAAATGATTGCTCCCTGCTAGGCTCTCATTCATTCATGCCTGTCCGCCTTTCAGGAATCACAAGTGGCAGCTCTAAGAGGCAGAGCTGGCAGGGGCTGGCAGCCATTCAGTGGGGATACAAAAAGGGAAGGGAAAGGTCAAAGCAAGAAGGTGAGCACAGGGAAGGGAAAGCAGCACAGAGGCAAGGTCTGATTGGATCCATACTGACCTGCCTGGAAACACTGGGTGTCAGAGGAGTACAGTGAGGTGCGGCAGCCTGGCAAAGGCTAGCTCACTAAATCCAGGGCCTAGGCAACGCTGGCTTTCGGCCCAGCACACAGTCTTATTTTCTGCAGGAAACCCAGGAAGAACAAGCAATGATCTAACAGTGGCAACACACAACTCAACGCGGCGCTGAAAGCTCTCCCATGCCTCTGCGGGACAGCTCTGCGGTGAGAAACATCGCTCAGCTAGCCACCATCCTGGTAAGCAAGAGCCATTCCAATTCACTCCTCTATTCCTCATGTGCTTCCCCAGAGGTGTTGCAGGGCTACCAACACCACCAGAGACACCAACTAGTCCTCCACACCAGCCACCTAGAGAAGAGTCACAATTCTTCCGCTGTCTTGAGGCCCAGCACTGAAACACCAGCACTGCCAGGCTGGGACGAACATCTCTGGAATGAGACCATAGCCACCATCCACCACCTTCTGCACCCAGAGCCCACCCAGTGCTATCTGACCCAAAAGAGACTTTCAGCGCCTGCTGACCGTCACTACGGATCGTCTGATTCACAGTGGCCTTCAGTGGTGAAACAGGATCAAGAAATTTTCACCCCTTTCTGGAGGGTGGTTTCTGAGCTGGACGTGCACAGCCTCTCACTATGTCAATTCAAACTGCAAAGCAGAGTGGGAACATCTGAAGCTGGTTTTACTACCAAGGCCTTTGTTGTTGAGCTACCAACCGCATGTTCAGAGCATGTTGACAAACCGGAGAGAAAGTGAGAAATCACTTGGAGAGAAAGTGAGAGATCCCTTGCCCAAGAGGCTTAGACTGCAGGAACAACCACCTCCCCTGGCACAGTGACAAGTCCGTCTAGCTCCAGCTCTACAAGAAAGACTTTAACAGCCGGTTACAGTCATGGGTTGTTACCTCTTCTGCACACTAACCATCACTTCCTAAGCAGAGCTTCACACAGAGAGACCACAAGAGTGCTGGTCTCCAGCCACTGTACGCTGAACAGCTACAAGCTCAAAGCCTCGTTGACTGTTCAAACTGGATTGCCACTGTTCTTGAGCAACCAGACAGCCCAGGAACAGGCTCCAGGGATAGGTGTTACATTAGCACCAGAAACTCAAGGCTGAGTTGTTCCTTAATTCAGCTTGGGATGTCACATAGGATCCCCTGACAACCAGCTCCTCAGAGTTTGCTCATTCCATTTCCCAAAGAATAACACGGGCAGTACTACTGCCAGCCCTGTGATGGAGACACCACCACAGGAGGTTGAGGCATTTGATGTGGCCGATTCAGTATACAGACCTGTCAAGCAGAGCGGCTAACAGAGTGTACACAGAAAGAAAGAAAAGAGAATCCTTGCTTGAAAAACAGGATTCAGTACTTTTGAGGACATTTAGCTGTTCTGAAACACAAGCACAGCTTATAAATCACCAGGTACATAAGCAAAAGTTGGAAAGCTCCAAGTTCCTTCAGCCTAACTACACCATGTGGAGGAGCACAGCACACCAGAAGGGGATGGCAATACAAAGCTTTTCTATATCCGAGTTAATGCCTTCTGGCTTCCTCAAGCAAGAAGCAAGAGGGCTGGGCAGCTCACTTCCAGAGGGGGTGAAGCAAAAATCGTAGGAAAAGCCCAAGGGACAGAGTCAACCAAGAACTGCAGAACCGAGCATCACAACAGAGATGTGAAGACTGGGCTGGAAGATGGCAGAGGTGATTAGAGAGCACATGTCTGAACCTTAAAACCCAGCTTTAAGTGATGCTGTGGAAACGTTACACTCAAGAGCTATCTGCTGCCAGACTGCAAGAGTCCACAGAGATGGCGGGCTGCCCTCCAGGGCTCAGGCCAGCCAGCACTGTAACACACAGCCCTAAAGCATGATGATTAGGATCCATTTCACAGCTGAAGGTGTAAGAACCTGGATACCACAAGATGATGAATATTTATTAATTCCTCTCAACCCCATGGAGGAAAAACCAGGCTCCCCACTGGCATGACCTGCTGCCTTTCTCTGGAAAGCTAGTGTAGTTCCTGCATCCTCTGAGGATCCAGGTGGCTTATCAACTGTCACAAGATCCACGTTAAATGCTGGAAGGCCATGACAAAGGCCAAGTTCACCACGTGTACTCTGCTCTTCCTGCCAAGGCAGGTGCATTATGTTACTTATGACAATATCTTACCCTCAAAGATCATTCTGTACTGCGCGGAAATTGTGCTGCTTTACTGGAAGGTCTCATTCTATCCTTTGCATTTAAAGCGTGGTGTGGGAGAGATCAGAGTGACAGGTCTTTTATGTGTGAATTACAGAGTGAGCAATTGAGTGAGGTTTTATTTACTGAGATGTCAAGCACAGTGAATAGAGCGAGCCTGTATCTAGCTCCTTTTGTGGCACTCTCAAAGCTTCCCAGCTCTGCAGAGGCACAATTCTCCCTCTACAGCTGGGAAAGCAGGGGATGGAAGAGTAACTTATCTAAGGTGACAGCAAGTCAGGACTTACTGGAAATAAAGTGCAGAGTGGAGGTCAGAGACTGCCTGGATGACATGCCCCACAGCAGCACTGGGAAAGGAGTGTAAACATGCTGATGATGAGTGCCAGGAAGGCTGGAGGACCTGCACTTACAGTACCAAAGCCCAAACCAGTCTAGAACAGGAAAACAAGTAACGTTGTTCCGAGGAGGATAGGGTAGAGCAATGCCTGCATAGACTTGCTGCTCTCACCACCCCTGAGAAAAGAAATAAACCAGATACACAGATTTTCTGAGCTAAAGAGTACGACAAAAATATCAAGGAGCTTTCCTCAAGTGAGCTTCATGCCTCAGACTGTGTGACTGCCTAGCCTCCATCGCCAAAATGCTTGTCAGACTTGGATCTGAACACCCAAACAACGCTGGAGACCTCCAGTCAGCAGCCTGTGCCGAGGCTGCCGAGCACCGGTGGGCCAAGAGCCCGGTGAATTCCCTGAAAGTGCTGGTGAGCCCAGATAGTCACAGAGATCCATCATCTTTCTAAGGTGATGCACAGGATCCACCATAGAAGTACACGCTCCTCATGCCGCACGGGAGGACAACTTGGCAAGCTGTTACAAAGCAAGTATCCTGCACATTAGTGTCTAAGTGGTCTCTATCCAGCCCCAGCCCTTTTGGTTGGCATCTGCTATATTCGTAAGTCTTCTATTCCCTGCCTATGCTGCTATAGGCTTACACCAAACAATAGTGGAGAAGCTCCGTGGAGATGTGTTACAGAAAAAGAAAGGATGAATTAAGAATAAAGGATAGCAGAGAAGCAACGCATTGCCTCTTCCTGCGTAAAGGCTGATATCTGAATGTTTGGCCTGCTATTTCTCAGACTGCACCAGGCCACGTCTCCATCCAGACTGGAGGTCTAACAAAACCACCTTGCAATCACTGGCAGCGCAGGACAATGGAGAAGTAAGGTCTGTCCTATTAGGTTAGGACCAAACAGAAATCCCCGGTCACGTTTTTTTAAATCTGTTTATTTGCTCAGGTACCCCTGATGGGATGAGAATCACCAGCAATGCAGAGGAATCACGCTGCTGACTGCAGCAGCAGCCCCCAGGATTCCTGCAGCCCGTCTCCTCCTGTAAGCTCTCTGACACACCTTTACTCCCACGAAGCGAAGCTTACACTCCACACTGACTCCTTCCTCCCCCGTGTCAAACCCTTCCACTTCCCAAAACCAGCTGTGTGTTGGAGAACCGGCAGATGAGAAGCCCTGTGACTACATCACAGTGATTTTTGAGAGAACAGGAAACAAACTAAAATTATTCCCCAGTCTCACTCCTCCACCATCAGCTGAGAAGCACTTGCTGCCGGCACGGAGAAACTCAGCCCGTGGCTCAGGCAGGCTTCTCCCTGTACGCAGTCCAGACTTGCTACCGGGCACCTGCAGACCTTAAGCAGCTCCCAAGCCACCAGTGGCATGCTAGTGTTTGGGAATCCTGGCTAACCAGAGTTAAACTTCTGTTGCTACATGCTTACTGGAAACACGACACAAATGTGTGAGGGTGTTTCCACCTCTTGCTCATCCCTGATCGGTGCCTGGGGAAGTTCTCAGCAGGGAACTGGCCTCAACTCATGCAGTCTTCTTCCCTGCTGCATTCCTCATGCACTGGCACTGGGGCTGCCCTGGACAGTCAAAAGACTGCTCCTGTTACCACAAGCACACTGGGACCCTTGACCAAGAAGCACCAAGCAAGCATCCTAGCCAGCTTGCCTCAGTGTTACGCAAAGAACTGTCCAGACCCCATTCTTCAGAGAAAAGCAGGATGCACGTAGCAATGTTGCCCCAAAGTATTGGTTTTGACTAGTAACAGCTGAGAGACAGTCCGTGCTTTGAAAAGCCTGTGGACAAAATAAGACTCCTCTTTCTTCAGTAACAGCTATGCACGTTGCATGGCAATTCACAGTGAACTGAGGACAAGGCAGAGTTACATGAGAGCTTTAGAGAGTATTCAGGAACCAATTCTTCCACTGCTGCAGGCAGTGACTGCCTGGCAGGCTCCGTCCTCTAACAGGCGATGAGGAGAGAGCCAGCCATGTTCTGCTGGTGTTCAAAGGGGCCAGGAGTTGATGTGGAACAAGGATGCTGGCCCCACTCTCTCTCCCACCCGCACGTTCCCCTCTTATTTTGGGCCAGGACCTCACAGGTCAGCTTTTGGGGAAGAGGGAAGTTGAACAAGTGTCTCAACTCAAAGTGATTTTCATTGAGAAAAGAAACACTATCAAAAT